CGGCGCTGACAGCTCGGCAGGCCACGCTCACCTGGGAGAGGCCGGCAAGGGGCGCTCTTGGCTGGGTTGGCGCGCATGCAGTTTTCGGGTGCGCAGCCTTACAAAGAAGGGTTCGGGGATGAAGATGCAGGGGTCTCTAGACGTGGAGGAAGGGGAACAACAGCTTGGGGGCTGAGGGTGAAGATCTCTGGATAAGGGTTTGCCGGAGTGGAATATCGGTCTATCGTCTATTTATCTATCTTGCGCTAAGCTTAGTACCAACGGAAGAGATGGGAAATGTGGAAAAAAGATAATGGCGATTCTTATCCGTTCTAGAAAAGCAGGCCAAGCAATGTTGATGTTGTAGAGAGGACGTTGGATTTCGTGCACATGGGTTCTTTTGTTCGCAACAGCTCTGATTCAAGATCCCCACACAATTAGGAGTGCAAAAGATTAATCCTCTGATTGCCATTGTTGTATATGATTGAAAGGGAAGGGGAAAATCACCACCACAGAAAAACTTGTCCTGATTGTGTAAAAAGCTCTCGCTATCTTGTTTATGCCTATTATTTGGAGATGGTGGGGGTGCGGGGAATCCTTATCACAAGTGAATAAAAGCATTTGTGTAATGGTCACTGTTTTAGTGCACTGTTACCAAGAGAAGCCTGTAAAAGCCATTGCCTAGTTAGATGGCCTGCTAGGCAAGTAGGACCATATTGAGTTTGTCAAGTTTTGTTGTTTGCTGAAAATGTGTACAGGATGAAGGGAGTGTTGGCTAAACTTAAATTATGAATTCTATATGGACTTAATGGAGCTGTTAGGATGCTGTTTTAGGAAGAGCTTGTCATAAGGTTCCCAGTGCACCAAGGTCAGTAACCTAGGGCAATGCAGGGGTTTTCAATTCTTTTTAGCAGTATCCTTTGAAGTTCAGGTACTTTTATAGATTCCCCTTCAGTTTCTTAGGCTGATTCTCATCACCACCCATGACAAACCCATGTACTTGCCCAGGCAGATCTGATTCCATGCTGTCACTGTCTGTGCTTCCAGATGAATTATTCTAGAGGAGTCAGCTTGCTGGCTTCTTTCCCACTTCCTAGAAAGTCATATGTTCTTCTTCAACCCACCTGCTGCCCTCAAATGAGCTGCCCCTTTTACCTCCTGAACAATTGAGTTGTGAAACAAAAATATCAGCTGATATAAATGGAATAGAGGATGAGGTCAGGAAAGCTCTTGCTCCAAATAGGGGAATATTTATCATATGGTTGAGGCTGAGGGCTTTAGGAAGTTTTTGATGTTCAATCTTGTCACTGTGCAGCAGAAAGATTGCTTTTCTAAAAATGTGTAATTGGATTGTATTTTATTTGTGACATTGTGTTATCTTCTGTATTTATTGAGAAAGAAAACAGCCCAGAGTGTGTTCATTCTGCAAATAGGATAGAAGACAAATTGCCATTGTTACAGATAGGAATCTGAGGTCTTCTTTGTGTGAATTTTTTGTTGTTGTTGTTAAATAATTGTAAGATGAATGCAGTTAATGGCTTTAGTAGTAATCACAACAATACTAATTATATTTGGCTAGTAATTGAAGATTTAGTTCCTATTAACTGAGGAACAAGCATGTTTTAATTTTTTTTTCATAAAACATGTGCTGATGTGTTATTTGATGGCCACTGTTGAATGATACTGCCTCTCATGGATTTAATAGTAATGCTCAGTTTAGATTTGGCTTTAAAATAATTAATGCTTTAAAATCCATTGTCAGTAATACTGATTCCAACAATGAGCTTCTGTTAATTTCTTGTTTTTATTATGTAATCATCCTTAATGCAACATTGTACATTGATTATACAATGTTCTTTCATAATGAAATATAATATAAAACAATTGATAACTCTAAGTACTCTTAATTTACATTTTAAAAAATAGTTATTAAAAAAAGATTTTACAAAGATCTTCTTTAAAAAATTACCGAAACATAGAAGAAATAAAAAAGAAATAAATTGCAAAAGGGTAAAAGAAAAAGTGAAGGATAAGAAAGAAAGAAAGAAAGAAAGAAAGAAAGAAAGAAAGAAAGAAAGAAAGAAAGAAAGAAAGACATGGTTTATCCACTGCAAAGTTTTTGGCTATAAAAGAATAGAATGCAACCACTGACTTAAACAGTATGGAAACCACTAATAAAAGTCTGGATAACCATTACTTTATAATGAGTTTTAACACTTATATTATAAATAGTAAAGTCCAGCAAATTACAGACCTGTCAGTTTTTTGGTGTTTTTTTTTTTTTGAGGTAAACTGATTTTAAAACAGATCATAAAGACAGTTATCTGAAAACATTTTGAAACCTTTTCAGTAATTACCATAAATCAACATGGATTTGTTAAATCTTGCCAGACTAATCTTACCTATGTTTTTAATTAGATAAATTCCTTGAATTGTAGGCATAATATATATTTTGGCTTTAGCAAAGCAGTTGACAAATTACCCCATGACATCCCAATTACCAAGCTAATTAAGTGTGGCTAGATAGAATGATAATTAAATGGATACATAGTTCACTGAAAAATCATACTCAAAGATTAGTTATTGATGGTTCCTCATCAATTATATTCCTGTACTGAGCAGGGGGTTGCACTCAGAGGTATAAATGCCCCCTTCCTACTCTATGACTCTTTGAATATGGTAGTAAAGTATATTGATCAAATATGATCAAGAGCAGGCTAGAATCTGTTTTTATAAACATACAGAAACTCTGTTTCTCTACCTTTACTACAAGCTGTTGACACTGAAGTACTAAGTACTCTCCTTGACCTTTGCTTCTTAAATGCTGCCGTGCAAATGGCTGTGTGTAAATTGGTGTTGCAGTCCAGGTTCCTGAGATCAAATGAGAAAGAGGTTTGAGTTAGATGTCATGGTTATAAATAAGCTACAAACCTCTACAAATACAGGTTTTCTAATTAACTAGCAGAATGAAAATCCAAAGTGATCGTCTAGGAAGTGTAATATGAAAGTATATTCCTCAAAATAAATTGTCTCCTGGGATCTACTGCTTGCACAATGAAATCTCATCTTTCACTTTTCCTAATTGTACTTACAATTTCTGTAAAGGGTAGGAGAAACCAAAAATTAAACAAAATATTGTGTTTTAATTATCTGTGTTCCAGTGAATATAGAAAAGAACAGTAAATAAATGTAAAGAGCATGGAAGACCTGATTGTGTAGATATAGGCAAATCTTGTCACTTCTCATTTTTCTTAGTGTCTCATTTTTTCCTGTCAAATTCTTGTGTTATATTTACATTAGTATTTTGTTTCAAGCCACAATAATATTGATACGTATTTTCATGCTTATTTTCATAATTTATTTTGTATGCAATTCTGCCTAATATAGAGCACATACCAAAAGTCAGGCCCCATAGGCCAATCACAATATGTTTTATTAATTGTATTTATTAACTGTATTTAGGATTCATGCATCAAATAAGTAAGGAAATTTTTAGATGAAAATGGCAACCAATTCAAAATTTTAATGTAATTTATATAATAAATTGTCTATGGGGCCTGATTTTTGGTGCACCCTGTTTATATATTTTACAACTAGTTTTCCTAATTATTTGTTATTTATGCTAATGTTTGTTGCGATTTTTCCCTTCATATACACATTTTGCAAGTAGTTTTATTTTTTTTTCCACAGAATTCAGAAATGAATGCCTATTGAACTATATTTCAATTTGGTTTAGGAAGTGTGGCTTTATTAGTGGCCCCTTGGACAATGGGAGATACTGCTTATCTATTTAAGCCAAAAGTGAATGTATCCATGTTGATCAAAAGAAAAAAAATCATTATAGACCATATAAAAATCATTAAAAAGTGAATGTGCTTTCAGGTTCATCTGAAATCATTACCAGGGTCTCTGATAAGCCAAAACACAGGATGAAAAATATCTTAAGGAAGTCAAAAAAGATACTGAACAAAAATAATGCAAACCAACCTCCTCCCAATTTAGCAAATGTGTACTCTTAACTAATTTATTCTAAAGGAGATATTTTAGCAAGGAATGGAGTTTCATGTCATAACATTCAAAGCTCTTAAACTGGATTAAACCTTTGTTTGGAGTTTTGATTTAGTGAAAATTATGGAAAGGGCAGGGGAAATTTTAAAAGCTCTTTGGGTAATTTCTATTCAATATCCTTTGCACTCTGGCAATCTGGAGTGATAATGCAGCATTGTTTATCCTGATTTCTGTTTGCGGCCCAAGTAAGTTGTCTTCTGCTTTTCATATGACAGTTGCAAAAAAAAAAATGTTGCACTAATTGGATGTATTTTCCTTTAGGTTTTTTGCCCTGACGTCTCTTCATCTGATATTCTTAGTTGCATTCACCCTAATACTAATAATATGTTTAGATCAGTGGAAGAATAGAATCTGGCCTGAAATAAAAGGTATGTACATTTTCCTTTTGATAGCTACATCTCATTTATAGTTTTTCATCTGCTATGATTACTGGGGTCAACCAAAGGTACTACATTTGTGATTGAAGGTAAATGAGAACTTTAGAATTCCTCAAGGTTCTCTGATTCCAGAAATTATATTTGTATGTCTCTGTTAGGTGTTCAAGAGAGAATTACTTAAGTGATTGTAGTCTAGTCTGTACACAACAAAGTCAAATGAGAAAAATAATAGTATAATGTTTACAGCTGCAGTAAACCAACTGTTAGTAGAAAATGGTTATAGTATCCAAAAAATATACTAATGTTGGATGCAAGAAATAGTAGCATTGATTTTTAAATGTCTGAGTACATAGAAGATAGTTTGCCATATGGAGTTCAAAGTTGAAGAAAATACATAGTGTAGGCCAGCCAGGGATCAAATGGGTTTTTCTCTTGCATTATGGAACTGTAAATTTAAAAAAATATCCAAGTGACATGATATAGAAGAGGCTTTTATGCATACACTTCCCCCAAAAACCTGGATCCAAAACTTGTTATACGGTTGTAATTTTAGTGTGACAAAAAGAAAAAGAATGTTGTAATCACGAGTGGAGAGTTATCAGATTTAGATTTAATTAAAATAAACATTGTTAATCAAGTCAAATGGCAACCCTAACATGCCATTCAAAGGCCATGTGCAACCTTCAGCCCAGAAAAAGTTATACACCCCTGATAGAGCATGCTAGATATATATATATTATAATACATCTGAAGGGCACCAGTTGGAGAAAAAGATATAGATTAATCTGGATTTAGGAAATCAAGATCGGAATTCTTGCCCTCCAGGGAACCCAATAAGAGAATTTGTTGAGGTCCCTGCCTGGGTTCTTGCATCATACTAACTCATGGTTTTTTAACCATTTATTCAATAAACCATACTTAGTTGAATATTCATAAGCCATTGGCTACAAACCACAGTAGCCAGGTTCACAGAATATGCTAAGTCAAAGCCAAAACATTGCATTATGATTTAGTCAGTGTGTTGTATAAACCCAGCCATACACTTTCAACCTAATCTCCCACAAGGTTTTTCTAAGGATAAACAGCTTCTCTAGGTTCCTTAGAAGGATAGAAATCTAACAGATGATTAGATAGCTTCTTCCTACAACAGTTGTTTACATTTATTGTAGGCCTAGGATATGCTTCAAAGGAGACAGAGAGAGAGAGAGAGAGAGAGAGAGAGAGATTTTCCCCCCAACTATAAAAGGCCTTTGTTTCTTCCCAGTATTGTCAACTGATAAAGACCAGAATACTCAGTCAGCATGGTACTATGTTGACTGAAAGATAGCAGGTGGGCATGGAACTTTACTGAAACCTCTAGGAAGAAAGGGCTCATTTTTCTCATGCTAATTGGCTGCATTTCTGTAAGGCGGTATTGTCTTTTCTATATCAGTCCAATATAATGACAGTAAAAGAATTTGCATTATTTTTCCAAATTACTGGAACCTATATGAAGGAAGGAAGGAATATCAGATTGTAACTGAGTTTCTAAAACATTTTACAAAGCACAATGTCCATTCTGTTTTCTATTCATGGCTGTCAGTAGTAAAATGCCATGTCAACTGCATGTTTTAATTATTCAGCTTAGTATATTTCCAGGCATTATCTTCACAACTAATCCTGATTGTATTTTTAATATTTTAGCAATAAGACCTGATGAACTAGACAATGAAAGGTATGAAAAATTAAGTCACTTAATTGCATATTTCTTGTTGTCTTTATGATTTGCGTAGCTGTAATAGTTTCTGTAATTAATTAGCAGCAAAAGCCATTCAAAGACTGGTTTAAGGATAGACATCTTATTTCTAAAAATCATCATTCATTGCCTCTTCTCATTTGTATTAAGACTGCAGTCCTGTGCTTGCACAGAAAAACTACTCCAAGTCCCAAAGTAAAATATCAGTTGGATTGGATTGTAAGCCATATACAGTAAATATAAAATCTTATAAATCTGTATGAGCATGCAAGTAAAGCTTCCAAAATGAAGTATTGAAGGTCTGAAAAAAGTCTGCTTTTTTGCTGCTTTTTAATTGCTCTGAGTACATAGTCAAGATGGTTTAATGGAAATGAATTACCTCCTTCAAATGCATAAGGGTACTTTGTCTGAACTAGAACCAAAAGATGAATTATTTGGCTCATGTCCAATTTAAATGAATTAAGAGAAATTTAATTAACTTCTGTGGATTTGTTTGCAAAAGTGCTGTTTGTTAAAATCTATTAGTGCTGTAACAGATTCTAACACAAAGAAGATTTTCTCAGTTTGAGCATCTATGCATTTTAATGAAAAGGGAGATGGCATTTCATCCATAATAACTAGCAGTTAATATACTATAGTAAAGAGCCTGGTTTTGAGTTCCATTTTTGCTATGGATTTGACCAGGACAAATAGCACTTCAGCTTTCATCTGTAAAATGTACATGACAAATTAATGACCTCTGAAAGTAAAATGGGAACAAATGAGAATGCAGCTATTTGAAAAAGTGATCAATGTATTGATATTTGATTAATGAGGTAAAACATAATTTACTTATTCCTCCAGTTGGGGCTATGTCCATCCTCGACTTCTGAGTGTGCCTGAACTATGCCACTATTTGGCAGAAGGATGGATCACAGGAGACAGCTTCATGAGGAGCCTGCTGAGTTTCAAAAAGCAAAATCCTGGCAAGGTGAAAAACAATCCCAAGTGGTAGCAACCATCTGATAATTTTATGGGTGGGGAGAAAGCTGCACCAAAGCAAAAACCTGAGAAACGCAGATGTTTTCTGTACAAGAGGAGAGTGCATAATATATCTGCTTCTGTGTTTATATAATTTATATACAGGTGAATTTCCTTGCAGAAGTAAGCATTGAGGGATTGAGAAGCAAGTACAGAACTTTTATAACAAAAGGGAAATTGAAAAAATAATGGGGTATAAGACCCTTTCCACTTGATGGAACTTTCAACCAACATTCTAGAATTGCCCTGGTTCTGCCACCACTGCCCATAACTTAAAGGCAACTGAAATTGGTACAACTCCTGCCATGCTCCTACCCCAGTTACACAAGACTCCATGCATAATTTCAGTTTGATCTCACTTCTCAAGAAAGCAACTTGTTGACAGCAGTCAAAATACCACCTACAATTGTCTTGAATCATAACCAGTTTGCCTAACAGAAACTGATTTCGGGGTTTTGTTTTGTTTTTGTAGTTCTGCCTTCTAGCCTGTGGTGTCCTTACATTTTTGGCTGTGTTAGGACAGTACATTCCGGGCGTCTGTCTTGCCTATCTTACAAGTGAGTATCAAGGGGAGGATTGGACACTAGAACATTGGACATTAGAACACTCTTCTTGTAAAAGGGAAACTATTTATAAACATTTAAATGGTAGGGCCAAAAGGTGAGTTAACCAAACCCAGTTTGAATTTCCTGTGGTGCATTGTAAAATGCTCATTATAGCAACATCAGGTTTTAACCAACTGTTTCAGAATGCTTCTTGGAGGTATTTATGGAATAGTAGTCTTCTAATCACTCTCTTTCTCCAGTGCTTTCTCTCTTATTGTGGCCACTTGCTGTATACCACCACCTGGGTCAACGTCTGTACACCAGACTACAGCCAGCTCTGCAACGGTTGGACTTCAGTGTTCGTGGCTATATGATGTCCAAACATAAGGAGAGACAGTGTGAGTCTGATACTAACTTGTACCAATTCTTTGAGTGCAAGACTCACTTTTTTTACATTTTGTCCACTGTACCTTCTTTTTGGTGACATGAAAGACTTGGCATCTTTGTGGCTTGGATGAAATTATTAAATATACTTATGGAATATTCACAAATCTTTTCCTATCCTAAACACATTTATTGGGCAAATGACCATTTCTTGCAGATGTTCAAATTCTAGAATCTTAACTGTAAATAATCTTGTCTTGGTCCTTCTTTCTTCTGCTTAGTTCTGTGTAGATAGATTTCTTATAATGGCTATTCTGGACTTTAATTTCATCGTAGCACGTCACCATATGCGGAGGGAGCATCCTGCTGGTGCTGATGAGAGTGACAGTGAAGAAGAGCTTGCTGCTTTTTGTCCTAAGGTAAATGTAGCACAAACTTTGGTAAAGATTAGCATACTGTTGGAATTTGGGGGGAAAGTACAATGGGGAGAGGTATGAATTTTAGCTTGTGTTTTCATGATTTGAAGAATGACGTATCTGTAAGTTATTCTTTATTACACAGGTGATTTTTTTCAATGATGCTATTGGATTTACTTTGTAAAAATTATGTCTCAGAGGCAGACTCTTCCTCCTTAGAGTAGTTAGATTTTCACCATTGCCAACACTTCTGTTCTTATATCTGGAAGGCCACATTTCAACAGAATACAAAGAAATCAGACTAAACATGTATGACCTTTTATACTTACTGAAGTGGTTCAATAAACATACCCCAAATCAACAAAAATCAAAGTGTGCAATGGCCACTATAGTTGTTGCTTGCTTTCAAGATTTTTTAAAACTTGCACATAACTGGATTCTGTGGTATGATTCCCTTAATATAATAAAAGCAACTAAACACTTCTTGACCATATTTGTATCGATGATTAATGTATATAAACCCAACTGTTAGTACATTATATTTAAATCTCATTGTGAGTAATGTATTTTTAAACAATATAATTATTTTTGATACTCTATATTCTTCAAGTGAACTATTGGAGAGAAATAGAATTATTTAAAGTTCTGTAAAAGTCTAAAAATAGAATTTTTATTTGAAAATGCACATAAAAATCAATATAATGGAACCATTGTTGTATTTTAGCCACCTGTACTATTTGTTAAGTATGTTATTTTTGATAACTTGACCAGTGTTGGAATTAGTACAAACAAAACCAAGATTTACTCTTGTAGATTAATACTTCAGAGTATAGCAAAACACTAGTGTACTTTTTTGCAGTAATATTTAATTATGCCAAAGAGACAGTTTAGCTGTAACACTGAAAAAAATAACTTAGAAATCATTTTATGATGGGTTCTTTACTATTTTGGTGCATTTTAAATTGAAATATTATTTGAGATAATATTTTGGGTAGCAAATATGCATAGAGAAAAGACCATGGTATACCTGCTAACTAAATATAATACTTCATGCAGTTGATGATATAGATTCTATTCCAGTTTAATTTAATTTGATATTTCAATTTTGAGGCCACCCATCTTCACAATGACTCTGGGTGGTTTACAATGAAAAATAATTAAAAAGAAAACAACATATATCAAAGAAACCTATTGGAAGACTGACCTCATAACACAGACAGACCAAAAGAATACAAAAAAAGGGGCAGGGCCTCCATCACCATCCTAACCCAAGGCCTGGGAGAACAACCAGGTTTTTAACAGTTTGAAAAAAGGTGGGATCTATATGAATCTCCAGGGAGATATCATTCAAGAGGGCAGGAGCTATCACCAAGAAGGCTTGTGTAGAGAGTAAGAAAGATAACTTTGATGGAGATAGGTGAGATCCATTGCCAAAGTGACAAGAAGAAAAACATATCTAAAACAAGTAGAAAGTGTGTGGAAGTAGTTCAGGCAGATACCTCCCTAATTCACATGAGTATAAGAAGAGGAGAACATACTGTACAGTACAATCAGATTTGCAAGATTCTATTACTATAGCTAATGTTAATAAAAGTAGCTTTAGCCTTCCTGTGGAGTTGATTTGTGGTTTGGTCTACCTGGTAGGACTGACAGCACACTTCTTTGGTTTCACAAGATAATATTGCTTAATCAATAGAATCTGGAGCATGCCCTGTCTAGCTGACCTCACCAGATGGGCAGAAACATACAGAGACTGGAGGTCCCTCAAGAAGCCAGGCCCTATATCATGAAGGGCTTTATAGGTGATAACCAGCATCTTGAATTGCACCTGTAAGCTTTCAGCCAGTACAGCTTGCAAAGCAGTGGTGACATATGCATGTACCGCAACACACCCAACATTGCCCATTTATTGGGGTAAACGTGAAACGAAGAAAGCTCCTAGGATGGAGGATGATTAAGGTAAATAGCTGAAGGTCAGCTTGGCTGGGTTTACATTGCTCAGCTATGCATGGTTGCTTAGGGTTCCTCTTCATTTAACAACTATTTATAGCGCCACAAGCAAAGCTGTGTACTTTGGGACAAAGACAAATATTTCTGGAAAACAAAATGTTTCTGCCACCTCTACAAATCATTAAGCATAACCAACTCTCACTCTAGAAATGTAACTGAAATTATTACTGCTCTTCAAAGCAATTGAGAATCTTCCCTGTTTGCAAAGAGGAACCATATCTAGCCCATTCAGTTTTAAGTAAATCAGAAATATTTGGTCCATTATTAATTTTAAGTGAATCAAATTAACTGGATTCCAGTTATAAGCAGTTTTCTAACTTCATGTAACCAAAGAGAATTACGGTAGCTGCTGACCACTTTGATTCTGGCAGATTTTGAATGTGTGCATTGGGATTTCTTTTTATACAGATGGTTCTCGTTTAACAACCACTCATTCAGCAACCGTTTGAACTTACAATGGCACTGAACAAGTGATACTTATGACTGGTGCTCATACTTATGGCCATTGCAGCATCCTCGCAGTCATGTGATTGTGATCCAGGCGCTTGGCGCCCGGCTTACTATTACAACATTTCAGAATGACAGACCAGATGTGCATTTGCATACTTTGCCAAGAGTATTAACACCTTTTCTTTTCCAAGTTGGATGATGCAGTGGTTGCCAAGCAGCTGACTATCTCTGACTCTGAGCACTCTGATGCAGAAGTATCTTATACTGAAAATGGGACTTTCAATTTATCACGGGGCCAAACACCATTGACAGAAGGTTCTGAAGGTAAGTAGAATAGTTGAGAAAGAAGACAAAATGCATTTGACACTAAATATCACTTAAATCATCATTTTATTGGTTTGTCGTTTTGGAGGTCCATTGGGATAAAAGTGCAAAAAAAAAAAAAATTAGCTGGCTACTGTCCAGTATGAAAGTGAGATAGATTTGCTCTAAAATGTTTGCATTTACATTGTATGTTGAGAAGTAGCTCTGGTGTGCGAAGATGAATGCTGAGGTCAGCTGAATTATATGACCTTTTTACTTATTGAACCTTTCAGAGCTCAGTATCTCCTGTTGAGAGCTTTCTGGGATAAGACTGGGAAAGGTATCTGCATCAGGATGGGTTTAAGATCCATTTGTCAGCTAAGGTTGCCAGAGCTCAGATAGATGAGTATTTGGTCCCTCTGATATTGACTGTATGCTGTAGTTCAGCTGTGTTTGATTTTTCTGTTCCTCATGTAGGGAACTTACTTCTATTATAAGTTAGGTTTCATAAAACTCATTTTCATAATACCAGTATTTGTAGCCCAAAACACAGTTGCCTGGAAAAGACGATACAGCTTAAAAGATATGAAAATTTGTTCAGACACTCTCAGAGATATGAATTTTAACTGCCTGTCAAATTTCTCTTTAGACTTTGATGGCCACAGTGATCCAGAGGAATCTTTTGCTCGAGATCTTCCAGATTTCCCTTCTATCAACCCTGAGATGACAGGCATAGATGATGAGGATGACACCAGCATTGGCATTCCAAGCCTTGCCTCCCGTAACCAGGCCCAGGAAGAGAGCCAACTGTCTTATAACCAGGAAGCAGTGACTTCAGAGTTCCTCCTGAGTGAGCTGCCATTAATGCACAACCTGACAGATGACTTAGCTGGCTTTGTGACCAGGGGAATGATCCAGCTGGCCTTGTCAGGAACTTCCCAGTCAGGTTCTATGCATAGCAACAGACAGCAGCAAAGTGCCAAGGCCTTCCTTCGGACCTCCAGCTCAGAGCTGGATACAGACGCTGAAGGGGATGATTTTGAACTGTTGGATCAATCAGAGCTGAATCAGATGGATCCTTCCAATTCCCGTGGTCAATAAACAGTTGTCTGTCGTTTGTTTTCTGGCTCCTTTTTCTCATGGAGCAGAGTTAGAAGAGCCCAGTGCAGGAATAAGATAGTATCCTACAATTTTTGGTGTATAATCTGGCTTGGCAAATTTGGAAAATTGTATAAATTTTAGAACAAAAGACTGCTATGGCAGAATCAGAACAATTTGACTGTTGGATTTGCTATGACCTACACCTTCCTAGTTTGCCATGTGTTGTGCTCTTAGTTCAAAATGAAAAAATCTTGCTGTTTCTGTTTTATTAAATGGGCCCCAGTGACAGGCTTCAGATCTTGAGAAACAAAGAAGTCAAGCATCAGAAATTGTCTTGCATTTAAGACACAAACCAAGTTCTTGAGCAACGCAGGTGATTTTTTTTTCCCAGCTTCTGATTTAGAATTTAAATTTTCAGAACTACTAGAAATATATATACTGGGTATGTGTTTGCATCTGTGTATACACACACACATACACACACATATACATATATATAAGTCCCTGACACCCCAGAGGTATTAGAAACTACTTCTACCTCTAGTAAGTATTTGCATGTAATGATTCCAAATCCATAATTTTTTAAACCCTTGAACTCTTGTTGGGCTGTTCTTGCACAAAGTAATGGCAATAATACAGACACACACACCTCTATAACCTTTTGAATGAAGATTTCTATATTGAAAGAATACCTTCTCTCCATCACAGTTCCATGAAAGAATTAACCTGTTTCACTCTAGAAGTCATCAAGTCTCTCTGATCTGAGTATATTGATTTCCAAATTGGAATATGGGATCTGTATTACTTATAGATACCTAGCAAGCAACCTGTCATTCTGACCTGTCCCTCTATTGTTGACATGCCCCTGATTCATGTTATCTGTAACTGTTTAGCTCCCAGATGAATCACCTGTTCTGAAGAAAAATATACTGCTGTTAAGGAAGCTAATTGATTTCCACTGAAAGATGATAAGGCTAGAATCCCAAGGACAACTGCTCCAAGCTTTGTGTGCAGTTTTTAAAACATAAAAGTGGGGTACCCTGCTTAATGATAATTCTTTTGTGAAAATCCCCCAGGAATACAAAATGGGAACAAAATTGCATCAAAGGGAAAGGAGGCATGTGCAATTTTGGTATGGCAGGAATGCTGTATTTTAAACTATTTGAAGACCAAATTCACCAGGCTTAATAACAGAAATGACGGTATATCTTAGTTGTACCGTTTGCGTTACTGTGAAGATACATTCCTCAAAAATAAAACATCTACTAATAGTATATAGATGTTACTAATACTATGGCACCAGGTCTGTTCAGAATACTGCTGACATCTGAGTAAAACCTGCAAAGGATTTTTCTTCTGCTGCATTCATCTTAAACAGCTTTTCAGACCTACAAAAAACAAGCCTTCTTTCAACAGTTCATACTGTGAGGAGCTTGTGAGTTAATTATCCTAGTGCTTTGTATCTTCTTATACAGAACTCTGTATCCAAACTATTTCAGTTTCTATACTTTAGAAGTTGGAAGATTGTACCTTAGAAGTAATTATCCTTGATGCAAAGCCATCCTGGTGATTCTCTGTGAACAAAAGAGAGACTTGAATAAATGCTGTGCTTTTATATTTTAAACATTTATTTAGATTATTTGAACTTATGACAACTTGTGCATCTGCTGAATTGAACAATTTGCATATCCAGTTAGAGGGTCATGCTCCATGTTTCTGTAGTACCAAGTCAATATGCATCATTTTTGCAGGCTCAATAGTTTAGAAGTTTACATTTTTTTCCCAACATACAGAATTTAAAGACTTTCGTAAAATACTGCCTATTGTTTTATTGGCCAATAGTACTGTGATGTTGATGCTATATGACTAATAGCACATTCTTGCAGAAAATATTTGAGAAGGTTGTAAATTTAAAACAGCTTGGTTTGGGTAGCATTTGTGTGGCAATATCATGGTATTTAACTGCCTTTTTTTAGTGTTTACAAATCAGCCAATATTGTGGAATTTCTAGAGTAAATTGTCGCATTGGAGAAGTTTTTAAAGTAAAATGCTGATAATTTTTGAAATGGAAAACTGACATTAGATTTTATGTGATGTGGATTAGAACAAAGTTTAGTGCAATAAGACAACCAAACACCCCTTCTCCATTGTATCAATAGTTAAACATATTTTAATTTTTTTGTTGAGTGTTTCTTTCTGCTGTAACTGATGCAAAATAAAGAATTTGAGAAAAATCCTGTTTGTTTCGTTCCTCTAGTTCCAAAAGTGAGACATTTCTTTGAATACTTTTGCTGTTGGCCCACATTGTCATACAATTATTAACTTGGCTCAGCTGCTATTTTTGCAGTTTTTGATATAAAAAAATATACATTAACAATTTGGCCCTGATGGTTGTAGTCACATATTGTGCTAAGCCATTTTTATTTAAATACTAGTTATTAAAATGTATTTATGTGCTGATTAGATTTATATCCTGCCATTCCTCCAAGACAGCAGGATGGTTTGTACAGGGATCTTTCATTTTATCCCTTAGTCTTAACCCTGTGATGTTTGTTGAGATGAGAGTGATTGGCCCAAGTCACCTAATGAGTGAGAGTGCCTGAGGGTGGATTTGAACTTCAACTGTACACTGGCTGTATGTATATGTAACTTTTTTGGAGAAATTTGCTTTGTGAAAGGATTTTTTAAATGTATTATATTTTGTCCCATTGTTTCAAATATCCATTGTCCCTGAACATTATATAATGATTGCCTCCCATACTGGACCTTAGTGTAATACTATTCTCTCAGCTATCATTATAAAAGTATGGAAGTCCAAGATGGACTACGTTGCAGTGCATCCATGCCTTCTAGCACAAGCGCTCTTCAAATTCTATTCAGCTATTTATGCCCCCCTTCAGGATATGGTGAGGTTCCACAGGATTAGGGCAGCAACAGAGAACCATGGCTTTTGAGTCCCTGTTCCTTTCACCCCCTGAATTGAGGGATCCCAGAACATCACATCTTGAGCAGGACAGGCTCTCCAGAATTAATTTGAAAGTGGCAGTCTCGTGAGTATCCTAAAACTTTACCATGTACTGCTTTATAGGTGAAAACCAGCATCTTAAGCTGTATTCAGAAACCTACGAAGTGTTATATTACTGAATCAACCTGCACCCATTGTTCGCGCTGTGCATTTTGCATCAACTGCAGATTTCAGGTAGTCTCCAAAGGCAGTCCCAGGTGGACCACTTTGCAGTACAGGTAGTCCTTGTTTAGTGACTGCCTCAGACAGTGACCATTCGCAGTTACAATGGTGATGAAAAAGTAACTTTGCAACCAATGCTCGACCTTCACACTCTCTCTCTCAGTCCCATGTTCACCATTACAGTCAGTATGCATTGTCCTGTGCCTGACCCATTTTTTTCTCTCCCCCCACCCTTGCAGAGAGGAGAGATTGCTTCCTCCTGAGTTGCTTTTCTCTGCAGCACAGTGCTTCCCTAAAAAATGCTAACCACAAGTTAACAAGCTCAGCTCTTAATTACTTGATTAGAATCCTCCCCTTGCAGTTGCTCCCTGAAATTGACAAGACCCTAATCAATTTCACACTAAAGGCTTTTGTTGGCTGGCAGGCAAACAGCTGGTGCTAGTGTATTCCATGTGTACTCTCCATTGTGTGCCTGCTTACTCTCTTGTAATCCCTTCCTCTCCAATGAATGTAAATACAAACATTAATTCTCTTCTTGCTAATTATCCCAGCACCAGGGTGAGCATTCCAAAAGGTGGGGGAGTAGAGAAAAAGGGCTATAAGATTTGCCCTTTTACCCAGCTTCCTTGTGAGTTGCGTTCTGGAACACTTCCCTGCCATTTGGGCTCACACGGCTCTTTGCAGTTGTATCCTTCTGATGCCGTAAAGCAAAGGAAAGCTGAAGTAAAATCATAAGCATAGTCACAGTCAATTATTTTCACTTAGAAACCACTTTGCTTAAGAACCAAGTCACCAGTCCCAATTGCAGTTGCTTAACAAGGACTACCTGTAATTCAATCTGGAGATAATCAGGAGATGAATGACTGCTGCCAGAGCCTCCTGCTCCCAAAAAAGATGCAATTGATGCACCAAAGATGGACAAAAGTATTTTGGCCAGTTTTCTATCTGTTAATCTAGGTGGAGCTGTGACACAGGAACACACACCAATTGTGGACCTGCTTCTTTAGGGAAAGTACAACCCCCTCCAGAGCTAGTAGAGAAGCCAACCACCACATAACAGCAGGACAGACTCTCTATTTTGACAAGATTCAATCTTAACTTGTTATGTCATCCAGATTCTTACAGCCTTTAGATATTGGCTTAAGACTTCCTCAGCATCTCCCTTTTCACTCTACATGGAGATGTGTAAGAGGGGAGCATCAGCATATTGGTGATACTTCAACCCAAACTGGTGGATGACCTCCTCCAGAACTTCATGAGAACCAGTTAAAGATGTTCCATTAGGACTGGGGAGACTTGAGTTCTAGTTCTCCTCCTTTAGGCATGAAAGCTAGCTGGGTGATTTTGGGCCAGTCACATGGATCTCTCCATGTAGACACCAGGAGCCAAGGTTGATTTGAAAGAACATAAACAACAGAAGCTTTATATAGATTTTCAATATTGTGGTAGGGAGGTAGCAGCATTTGGGGGCATGGTTCCTTGAAAGTCAATAAATGGTAACAGCATGGAGGCTTTTAGGGCTTTTTTTACCTGTGTTGACTGGAAGACCCTTGCCAGAAGAACTGCTACGTACTGATATGGTAGTCTGTGTTTCAGAGGTGCAAAGAATTGATCCAGTGGAAGGGATCAATTAAGGCCTGTACATGATGCCTTGGATCAGCACATGCCTGGTTGGGATCCACTGGTGATTTTAGCCCCCAAGATTGTTGTAGTTGTGGTCCCAAAAAAGGAAAGGGTTCTGAGGAGGTTACCAAAAGGTCACATAAGGTGACCCATCTGGTGAGAGGTGGTAAATTTTCAGTTTCAGACTGAAGGTAGTATAGCAGTGGGCATTGGGGAGGCCATTCCAGAGAAAGGAGGATCAACCACTTACTCTTGATCTTTGCTTCCAGTTCAATGGCCCCAATCTTGAATCCTAGAGGCCTCAAGCTCCTGATAGTAAATGCCTGGTCTGTTTATAATAAGGCTCTGCTGATCCATTAGTTGGTAACGTACACTGCAAAACCTGGCATATATTGCAAATCTAGTTGGATGAGGGTGACAATGTCACCATGTCCGAAACTGCCCTCCTGGGTTTTACGTCTTTCATCGATCAGCCTTGATGCTAAGATTAAAAGGCAGGAGTGGCATTGAAAACAACTTGCTTGTGATCAGGAGACCAGATTTTAAGGTAGTGGGATGTGAATGTCTGTAGGTTTAAGCTAGGCTGTAGGGACAAATTAAAGATCTTGCTGGGATATTGATCACCCTATTGCCCAGTAAGGTCTCTGTGGGCTGCTGGATCTAGTCTCAGAGCTGGTGTTGGAATCCCTACATCTATTGGTGTTGGGTGATTTTAACCTTCATGCTCTAGGGGCTGGGTTCAGGAGAGCCAGGGATTTAATGGCTTACATGGCAACCATGGGCTTGCTCCAGATAGTATCAGGCCATACACATGCAGATAGCTGCATGTTATACCTTGTTGCCTGGGACCAGTCCTGTATTGATCTGGATATAGATGGCAAAATATCTAGCTCTTTGCTTTGGTCAGATAATTTCTTGGTCCTGCCACCCCAGACTTCTGCAGGCCAAACAGACTGATTCAGACAGTCTACTACCCCAAGTGCTTCATGGATTTAGGTGGATTCTGGAGGCTGCTTGGGATGGCTCTATGGCTTGGTGCCTTGGTATCTTCAGAAATGCCTTTTCCTATCTGAATCAGCCCATCCAGTGTGTTCTTTTTGGTTATAACCCACTTTTGTGAAGTAAGGGGACTGGAGGATGAGGAAATACCAGCAACAGGAGACAGTTGTTGCTCTGGTCTTGTGGCGTACCCTCCCCTTCACCATCCTTCATCCATTCTAGTGTTCTGTAAGCTACTGAAGAAATAACTCTTCTGAAAACCTTTTGGTTGAATAGTTCATTCTTGACAACTTTAATTTATTTCACTTTGTATTATTTTTATTTATTTGTTGATATTATTTGGTTTTGTTAGGATTTGTTTTACTTACTTTTCATTATCACTATTATTATAATTTATACTTGTGCTGTTGTTTTGATTAGTTATTGGTTATTTATTTATATTTACTGTGAACATTTTTAATTTTTATGGATGGTACTGTTGATTGTTTTGTAAACTGCTGAGAGTCTATACTGATTTTCCAGTATACAAATAGAATGAATGAATAAATAAATGAAATCTACTGTCCTAACTCTATTATGTCTATCTGCTGTGTGCAAGAGACAAAAAAAGAAAAAAAAAAGTCAAATGGGACATAAATCTGGCTGTGATCCCTTGTTTCTCTCTTTTTCCCTTAGGCCTGAGAACAAAAGAAAAAAAATCCTCAAAGTTTCCAACTTCAAGTAAATGAATACTTTATTCAAAAACTCCCAACCCTTAAAATTGCCACATTAATTCCGACTTGCCTTGAGTATTCAAGTTGCTGTTCCCCATAACATTCCATTTATCCCATTGCTACCAATATATCACAGGACATGCACATGGTGTATGTCCTTCCCACAAGGGGGATTCTCCAAACCCTCCTCATACAATCCTGCGGAGAGCTGACTAGCAGCTACTTTATTCCAGAAAAATTGTCTCTGCCACTGATTTACCAGGGAGGAAGCAAATTGTAACCCTCTTCCTTCAGTAGTCTGACATGACAGGAAGTGGCATACTAAAGGTTAAATTCCTTTCCCTGAATGAGCACTACTGGTTCATTAAGAATTCTAAATCTTTATTGTATGCAGTCAGGACCTAGATGAAAGTGGTTAAGAAAGGAAAAGGAAAAAGGAATGAACAATTGCTTTCTGAGAGGTTTATTTCAGACAATAGGCACTCCGTCAGCCCCAGGATCTCTCATGAACATATGCATCAGAACAAATTCAAACAGTCCATATCCTCAATCCATAGATAAAAGCATCTATACCACTAACTTCACAGATCCTAACTTGTCCAAATTACTATACCCAGCCCTGTTGCTGCCTTCTATGGCAGTTTCCCCTTACCTTGTTTCCAACCAGCCTCAGGGAAGAAAACTGCCTGCTCCTTTTACTAAAAGGGAAGCCCATCCCCGATTGGGTCCCTATCATTTTGTTTTCCCCAGGTTTTGGTTGTCTCTGTCCATTCCCTGGATGGACAGATCAGCCTACTTTCCTTTAACCTTTCCAGACTTTCAATCTCTTGTACTTGAATTTCCCTACATTCAACCCATAAGGGATCTACCACTTCTATGTAATGTTTTACCACTTGCACATGCACACCTCCCTCTCTCTAACATGAATTTTAATTCAGCTCAGGACAGAACTGCCCAGCTTGGATGGAAATGTATTGGTGGGGTGGGGTGGTGATGCAAACTTCATGGATTATGAACTAGCATGCAATGTTGCAACATAATATGAAAAGGTGGAGCTTGTGTACTGATGTCACAACACACATTGTTATTTTGACATTGTGTATGGTTAGCTATGAATCCTTCTGCAAAATATAAGTAAAATAAAGTAATATTGTATTAAAATAGTCTTTAGGTTTAATATTTTCAATTCTTAAATATTTGTATATATAAACATTATTAAATAATTACGAATCAAAGCACATTTTAAAATATTTGCATTTGAAACATTATAACATGCTTTTCATTAGCTCTCCATTCTTTGTATACAGTTCCTTCCATCAGTATTGTTTTGAATATTTGACTATGTATATTTCTAAGTGGTAATCTTGTTTTTAACCAGCCTACACAAAACTGTTAATCAGGTGTTGCTTAATTTTTTATTTTTTTTTTTGGCAAGTTAAAAAGGCTTTGGTGGGGCGGGGGGGAAGGGAGAAAAAAACAGAAGACGCGGCAACAATTCATTCTGCTATTACAACTTATGTTAACCTCACAGAGATATTTATAAATATTTGTGCCACAATCCCCTTCTAATAAAGCACATAATAGATTCATAGTTCAGATGGCTAAATTCTTGCAAGTCAGAAATCAAATACATTCTCACTTTCCAGTATAGTGAGGATTTATCCAGCCATAGAAAATACAATTCTTCTAAATATACTGCCTTTGAAATGAGTATATTCAATCTGCATATCTACAATTAGATTTCTCCTTTGCTTCTAAATTCTTCAAGTGAGTTGTTATTATTAGTAACAATAATTACTAATTATTATTACTAATAATATGTAATTATGCTATTATTAGTAACAATAATTCTTTTCAAAGCACCTAAATCCCATTGAAACTTAGACATTTGGCCTTTAATTGCTTTCACATCTTGATGAAGAACTGTCATATCTTTATGACGATCAATATATCTACTGTATTCTCAAAATTTGACCATAATCTCTAACTCTGTATTTTTTTCTTGATCAGGTACACATATAGATAAATCAGGAGTTCATATATTGTTCTATCTCAGAAGGTCCAAAGGAGGCAGGTGCTGCTGTTCCCCACCCTTCTGGAAGAGTCAACAGAGTTTAGTCCTTTCCCCAACGTCCACCACCACTCTTGGCTCAGGGTGTCCAGAGAGCATTTTCTGTGGTTTCTGAGGTGTGGAACATTGGGAGTATATGCAAAGACTAAAGCAAGGAGGCACCTACATTGGGCAACAGCATTATAAGAAGATATTGGAGGTGGCTTACCAGTTTAGTAACAATGGCAAAGTCATAAATTCATACTGTGCAGGAGTATTCTTGTATTTTATCAAAATAAACCATACTGATAGACAAGCTAAAGTGAATATCAATATTGAGCTGGATGATGGACCCCACAGGATAGATGGCACTCCACATGCTACAGAGCAATGTTTCTCAACCTTGGCTGTTTTAAGATGGGTGGACTTCAACTTCCAGAATTCCCCAGCCAGCATGTAGGTAACTCATCTACATGCTGGCTGGGGAATTCTGGGAGTTGAAGTCCACCCATCTTAAAACAGCTAAGGTTGAGAAACACTGCTACAGAGGAAGAGCTCAGTATCTTTTGAGATATTAATGTTGTTTATGATGCTGCTAGATTAAAGCCTGTGGGACATCTAATTGCTGATGCTGCCATGCAAGAAAAGAAAACTTGAAGCTGCAAAGATAACATTATACTGGGAACATAGAACATAAGTAGTACAAACACGGGAAGGTTCAACACAGTGAAAGATTAAATGAATTGGCTACACATTGGTATCTTGGACATCGGCAAATTGAAATAAACTGGACCTGGTTACTTTCAGTCAGAAGATCATTTTGTTTACTACTCAGGATATGAAAAACAAAGAAGGAATGTTGTTGCTTTCATAATCAGGAAGGATATAGCAAAGACAGCACTTGGGTAGAATGCTGTTGCTGACTAAGTAATATCAATTAGGTTTCACAGACAACCCTTTGGTATGATGGTTATTCAAGTTTATGCCTCAATCACTGAGGCAAAAAATGAGGAAGTTGGTGAGTTCTATGGTCAGATTCAATCTGAAACAGGCAGAACACACAAACAAGATGTGTTGCTCGTGGTTGGAGAATGGAATGCTAAGTTGGAAACAGCAGGGAGGAAAATGTAGTTGGACTTTACAGCCTAGGACATAAAAATAAAATAGGAGGACAACTTATCAGTTTCTGACAGATTTCTTCAATATTAAGAAATTATTTAAACAACCAATATGCTAAATATATAAATGGACATCACCAGAAGAACCACATAGATATCAAATTGATGATATTATTGGTACAAGAAGATGGAAGAACTTAGTTATAACAGCAAAAATGTGGCCAGGGGTTGACTTTGGAATAGATCACGAACGGGTCATGTGCAAGTTCCAAGTTATGCTAAAGCAGAAGAACAAAGCCAGCCAGATTCCACAATATCATTTTGAGCATATACCTACCATTTTCAAAGAAATAAATTGTCCTCATGTGAAACCTATACACAGGTCAGGAAATCATATTACAGATAGAACATGGCAAAACAGTCTGGCTCCAGGTTGGCAAAGGAGTGAGACAAGATTCTTTTTCCTTATTTATTCAACCTATATGTGGAATATATATTAAGGGAAGCCTGACTGGAAGATGAGCGTGGTTTTAAAACTTGAAGGAAGAAACATCAGTAATCTGTACTATGCTGATGACACTACTCTGACAGCTGAAAATGCAAATGGTCTACAAGCTCTAGTAATGAAAGTCAAGGAACATAGAGAAAAAATGAAACTGAGTTTAAATATAAAGAAGACCAAATTAATGATAACGGGTATAGCAACTAGCTTTAGAATTAACAATGAACATATTGAAGGGGTGGATAGTTTCTACCATTTAGGATCAACTATCAACAGTAAAGGGATCAGCAGTCAAGAAATATGCCACAGACTAGCCCTTGGAAGGGCAGCAATGAAGGCCTTGGAAAAGGTATCCAGATGCTGTGACATGTCTATACCTACAAAGATCAGAAATCTTGCAAGTAATGTTTTTCTCTGTAATGGTCTATAGATCCGAATGTTGGACTTTGAAGAAGCAGGACAGAAAAAGTACTGACGTTTTTGAACTTTGGTGTTGGAGAAGACTCCTGAGAATACCATGGATCATAGAACAAACAAATGGATCACGGAACAAATCAAATCAGGACTGTCATTCGAGTCACAAATGACCAGCCTCAAAGTGTGGTATTCTTGACACGTTGGAAGACCCAGCCCCCTTGAGAAGTCTGTGATGCTGGGAAAAGTGGAAGAGAAGCGAAAAAGACTCCAGCAAGGGGGATGGACTTGATTACAACAGCAATAATGCACCCCTGAGAGACTTGTAAAGCCAGACTGAGGACAGATCATCCTGAATCAAGTCTACTGACACCTGAATCAATCAATCAGTCATCAATTTCTGTCACTGGTTTCTAACAAAAACAGAGGAAATACCTTCCATCTTAACCACTTCTCAGAAAACAGCAGAGGAAAATCTACTTGGCTGTTTTTCTTACAGTCCCTATGAGTTCAATCCCGCCAGCCGACTGAGATAGTCCAGTCACTACTTTTCAGTCGCATTACACTTTAAATGGCTGACGACGGCTTCGTCGCTAGTTCTTCCTTTGGCTCCCCAAACATACCCCAGATGACGTTAAGGGTCAATCCGGAAGTCGATTTTTCTACATTTTAGAGTCCCTGTTTTAGGCGCCAGATTCCGCTTCCGGTAGGAGTCTCCGCCCCGGTCAGGATGAGCGGAGGAGGGAAGGCGCGCGATGGATCTGCTGGTAACGCAACTAGAAATTCAGAGAGGAAAGCAATCTAGGCGGTTGTGCGGATCCGTGGTCCTCTTCCATTTTTCTTTTCCGCTTGCCGTGGAATCCCCTTATTCGAAAATGAAGCCCTTTTGCTTCCAGCATTTGAAAGTCCTCCGTGACGAACCCAAGCTAATGATTTTTTAAAAGGTTGGATTTCACGGTGCGAGGCGGGTGTGCCGCTTTTCTGTTTTTAGCTCCTGCGAGTGTAGGATGTTCGCAATCCCCAACACCCTTTCTTTTTTTACAACGCCCCAATCGGGCACCTTCCAGATGTGGCATTTTACAGTTCCCACCCACCGCCAGGAAAGTGGGCGTGCTGGTGCTTTGGAGGATGGAGGGTGAACATACCAAAGATAGGGTGCTGCGGTGGAATGTGTTTTTTCCCCTTCTTCTAATATTTATTTATTTGGTAACAAAAACAATCTTTAATCTTGAAAAAAATATATACATAAACTAAAAATGTAAAGAAGAAAAAAATCTTACGTTTTATACTTCTCAGCAGTCACTGGTCTACCAATGAATTCACTACTATAATATAAACAATGCAAGATATAATTGTAAGTTATCACAGAATCTCTGCCATAATAACACGTACTGCTGGAATGTTAACAAAGCTGCATAGTGTTTAGTAGTCTTGCAGTAAGTTTCTCCGCTTAAAGCCTCGTGGCTCAACAATAAATTCTTTAATACCTAGAGAATGTCTGTTATTCATCCTCCAGGTTTTAAATTTTCTATGATAGACCTTCCTTCGCTTTTATGGGATTTCCTGATGTGCTAGCTTGTCATAATTTTCTTTTTCCCTTTTTGATCTGGAGAAGGTGCAGCTGCCATCCTGCTATGTTATCTTCAGGAGCAGAACCGGCCTCATAGTGCTCAGGATGTCTTCAGCAACTTACAGCGACAACATGGATTGGGCAAGACGGTGAGACAAGGCATTGGAGGGGTAGTATGGGGCCTGTATTATCTCCAGGAATCAAAATAGTACTGCTCTTCACTTTCCAAATGTATGCTACATATATTTTAAATTCTCCAAATTAATTGGGCATTTTGACACAAGCCTAATTTAGAAGAATAATGAATGTTTATAATGGTCATGATATGATTCATCCTTGAGGAAACTGATTGTTAAGAAATACAATTGTTTGTCTGCTTATAGCTTTCTAACTATGCTGTATGATGCAGCAATGTTACACTTTAGCAGT